TTCCGTATACTTTCCTTATACATATTATTTATAGGGTTAGTGATATACAAAGATATATAATAGCTAGTCGAATAAATATTGCACCTGATGCAAGTCAGGCCCCAAAAGAGAAGAGGCATTTGGGTTAGTAGTATCATACCTTGCAGGTGATGCATTGAATTTTATTTAACTCATATCAAAGGTAAAAATTAAAGATGCAATAATCTCTCAGACAGTTTGAAAGTACTTACTTTAACTGCTGTTCGAGCAATAAATAGGTGCTGGAAATGGTGATGATCAAATTGGTAGTTTGAATACTGCTAGAGAATTCTAAGATAAGGTGACCGCCAAAATTAGTAGAATTGGAGCAGGACTCGCAACAGATGCTGATATTATTCTGAATAGAACATGGGATAAAGATTGGTCTATAGCTAGTGGCAAACCTATAGATAATGTATCAGTAGCATCTAATGCCAAATGTGGTTTTCCTGCTGTTACTATTGCTTCTGGTATTAAGCTTGGTCAACTTTTATACCTATTTAAAATCTCTTATACAACTGTTAAGCACTTAAAACAAATAGCAGTTTTTGGTCAACTTATGCAAGATAATATGACAGTTGAGCAATTATCCGCAAACATTAAAAAGATTGGTAAAGTAGCTGAAATGACTTCTAAACAGCAAAAACACAATTTATTCGTGACCTATTTCCGATAAATCAATATAATCTTCGAATGATGACCAAATTTTATGATACACAGGATAATATTACACAAGCTCTAGCTGAAGCAGAAAAATATACATTATCTCAAAAAAGAATGCTATCATCTTTTCCAATTTTTCCAGTAGTCAAACCATATGCAGATACTAATAGATCAGGAATGACTAGAAATGAAATTAAGAGCTTGATAAAAAATACAATAGCATCCTCAGAACCTTAAAAGCCTCAACAGCCTCAATAAGTAGCTTCATTGCACTTTCGATCACAACCTGCAGGAATACATAAAAATTTACGAGATGAGAATATAAGCAGATTTTATCATGGATTACGTGAGAAACCCCAGAATTTGTTCCTGTTCCTAATCCCACTTTATGACCAAAGCCAAAGAAAAAGGTTAAAGTTGATTCTGATGATAAACTTGCTGAGCTCATAAAAAAACAGAAACTTACATTTGGCTAGAGCTATTAAAAAGGTCGTAAAATCACAATATAAATGTTCTATCTGTGATAAGACTGGGTATAATTCTCACAAATGCTCTCGAAAGAAGAAAAGAAAAAGAAGAAGTCTAAAAAAGGTAAGGTTAATTTCATTACTTTAGATCTGATCTCAGATTCGAATTCATATTCTTCTTTTGATACCTTATCTAGTAATAGTTCTAATTCTGATTCAAGTTCTTCTGATTCTTTTGGTTCTGATGATGAGCTTAATGTTAATATGACTAAGATAAAAAAAACTAAAGCGGAAGTCTAGCCCTAAGAAATCATTTTCAAAGAAGCAGTCTAAGAAAAAATCTAAATCACATAAATCTGTTAAGCAAACTGATAAGACAGATATTGGAAAGCCTATAGTTAACTCTAATAAGACTAAACAAAGCAAGCAAAGCACTTTGGAGGATACAATTCGCAAGATTATTCAAAGTATGCTTAAATTAATTTTTCTCGCACTTATTATCCAAGATTCTAAAGCTGATATGCTAAAACAAGCACTTCCTATTCAGGAGCAAAGTGATGAGATTCCAATTACCAAAGATATATTGCCAGATTTAAAGGAGAATGAATATTTAAATGATCTAATGGAGATCGATTTTATTCAGAAAAAGGAGTCAAAAACAAGTGTTGTAACTATAGAGTGTAAAATCAAGTGTTTGAAAATCCCGCTATGACTCTTAATTCTAGAGCAGAGTCTCCTATCATAATAGAAAATATTGTTGAACGTATGGAAGCTAAAATTAATAAATCTGAAACACATGATCTCAGTGGTATTGCTACTGTTCTGATTGAATCTGTTGGAATTATTCGTAATTTGCCTATTACTCTAGCCCCAGGTTATACTATCTATGAAGATTTTGTTGTTGTATGATATCACAAGCCTATGCTAATATTTTCAATCAACTTTTAAAGAAGTACAAATGCGTAATAGATTGGAATACCAATGAGCTGAAGATTCCCTTAATAGAAAAGATTATATCTTCTCAATCACTATGCATAAGGTCAAGAATAAGTTTGAGGTAAATTGTGTGACTACTACTCCTAAATGCGATGCTTTCTCAACTCCAGATAGAATGTTGTAAGACTTGCAGGACTTAAGTGAGAATGATAATGTATTAAAAAAAATGCATAAACTATGAAAATATGGTAATTCGTATAAAAGAACTTGAGAAGAAGCTTTCCAATGTTATCAAGTTCAATGCATAAATTATAAGTTTTGCAAAAGTCTTCTTAGGAAATAAGCAAGTTATTTTCAGGATTACGCTTCTTTTTTATCTATAATTTTTGTACTTTTTTGGCCATCTTCTTATAAAATGCATCCAAATTTACACTATTTATATCCTTCTCTGAAGTCTGGATTGGCTGAGTCTAAATACTAGATGGTTCAGAAATCTGAACAGACTTCAATTTCTTTTTTAATCTTTTTTACCTTACCGCCTAAAATAATACTCCTTTTTAAAGCCAAATCAGTAGATTTGCTAGGCTCTATTTTACCATTACATATTTGTTTTTCCAATTCTGCAAATGGAGAAACATTTTGGTCTTGGATCTCTGACTCAGTCTGCTTGCTCACAACATTTATATTAAAAAGTGAAGCTGTTGGCATATGAATTGGTTAATTTCATATAACCCTATTTTTTCTTTACCTCTTCAGATCTGATAAATAAATTTTTGTGATGTGCAATATTTATCTATTAAATCCTTTAAAACTTCATCTCTAGGCCTTTTTTCAATACATTGCATAATAAAATTGTAATCAGTTGGTGAAAAAGAAGAGGCATCTCATTTTATGTGTTGCCTCAGCATAGTAGTAATATTTTTTTATATCTAATATAATATTCTAAAATAATTTATTAAATAAGATATACAGAAAAAATGTATCATTCTGAATATATAGGATATACAGGATATACAGGAAGAATATATTTTAAATAAACAGGACATACAGGATATATAAGATATAAAGGAAAATATATTTCAGATAAATGGGATATACAGGATGTACAAGACATATAGGAAGAATTTATTATTCTGAATATACAGGATGAATGTATTATCTCAAAATTTTATTTGTATATTTTTTTTCTGCTATGTAACTATACCAATATTATATCTAATATGCGTATACTGAAAGATATAAAAGATAGAGGACATCGGCTTGGTAATACATATAAGCAAGAGCTCAAAAAAAAATTAAGATCCACTATTGATTTTAACTCTGAAATTATTGACTTTAACGAAAAGTTGCAGGCTGAAAATTCAGAATATTCAGGATGAGAAAAGGAGTTCTAGCAATTCCATGCTGATATCAGAAATAAGGTTAGTCAGCTAAATAGTGTAAATACTAAGCTTAGATCCCAATTTACTTCTGAACAGAAGTCCCATTTTGAGAGTCAACGTGAGCATGAAGCAGAATGAACCAATTATTCTGCTGAAATCAAATCTCTCAAATCAAATATTAAAATATTAAAGAGAGAGATAACTTTGGCTCAGAAAGCTTTGTCCGCTGATAAGGTCAAGATACTTTCTCTTGAAGCTAAAGTAGTTGAATTGAAAGGTAAGTTAGGAGATTTGGAGGTATTCCAAGCGTTGGATTCAGATGTAATGAGAGAAGTCAGCTCAAATAAACTCATCTGAAATGGATAATCCTAAAGAGATCAATTCTCTTAAGCTTGAACTGGAGTGAATGAATGAGGACCTTAATTTAAAAGAATATACAATAGAATATATAGAAAAAGGGATAGAGTTATCAAATAATATATTCAAACGGAAATTAGATATTCAGTTTTCAGAATGATTAAAATTAATGGAGGAAAATTCTCACCTTCAAGAGTTAGCATTTAAGAAAGATAATGAAATAGCAGATCTCTCTAATCCCCCACCTCTACCTATGAACGATTCATCACAAAAGCTACAGATTGGATTAGTGATAATTTAAGACCCCTCATCTATGAGCGTGGTCTTGAAGATAAAATTATAGAACTCAATAAAAGTTTTGCAAGAGAAAATATATTAGAGGCTTTGCAAGAGCAATTACCCCAAGATGAGATGGTTTTGAGAAGTGGAATCCCAAAAGAGACCATTAACCAGACAGATACCTACTTAATCAATCTGTTTATAGTTGATCAGCACATTCTGAAAAGTATATTTTGAGTAAAGGGGTTGCAAAGCGATTAGGAGATGATATCAGCTTAAGTAATGCCTCTAGTATCAGCTATCCCTATCATTGTGAACTTCTTAATGTTATCATTAATAACATATACTATACTTACTTTACTACTTCTTGCAATTATATGGATCGTTGGGAAAAAAATATGGGATTTATGGAGTGATAAGCTGAAAGAAAAAGTAATACTCCTTCTTTCTGGAACTATTTTTTATCATCTCCAGATATTTCTGATACTGAGCTGTATGATCAGAGGCTGGAAGTTTGGAGTGATCGCTTTAGGCTAAAAGTTTGAAGATAGGTATTGAAGTTAGCCAGTATTATTACATGAGAAAATATATGTAAATAATATTATGAGAAGCACCTTAACGACTAAGTTTTCTTAGCTAAAATTGCCACATTCTGCTAAGAGTATTTAGAAAGTTTATTGTAAAGTTTTTATATATTTTTAAGCTGTCTTATGGCCTCATCCTGAAAGTATTTATTGATCTTCTTTTCTCTCACATCTGGATCCTTGATCTGCATTATTTTATATGATAGGGGTAGTCTATAGCTATCGTTCTCATTGATAAAGCGTACGCACATTGCAACTATAGTGCCTAAATAATAATTGATATCTATTTCCATGTTTTGCTCTTTTGCTATGTTCTATAGATACTTCATATAATTTCCAATTCTATATAGTATTAACCTGCCTTTTTCATTACGAAGACAGGGACCCTTCATAACAACATAGCTAAACTGTTCACTAGGATCAAGAATCCTTTTATTTCTCTCTCTCATACGTTTCATAAAGTGATTATTACAAAGATTTTCTTTCTTGGTACTCCATGTTCCTATTATAATAAATTCATTGAAATTCCATTTCTTGTTTTCTGCTTCTCTAAGAGTATCTTTAACAATTATGTGAATTGGACGTATATATTTATATCCATAGCCTCTCTCATTATCTTCTCTCTGATGAATTTGAGAAGCTAGGATTTACCTTGCTTTATGATATCTATACCTTTCATGAAAAGTTTTCGGTTTAAAGTTTACTACATCTTCATGCTCAACTCCAAAGTACTTCTTTTTACCAGTAAAACAGACGGGAAATAATATGGGAGCGTTTCCAGTAAAATCACATTACGAATCATATGATTTACTATGCCTCATAACTTGATTTTACTGAAAACGTTCCCATATCTCTTCATATGCTATCTTTAGATAAGACATTCCACTTTTTATCCTAAGATAAGCATTTACTTGATTGCACAACTTTCTTATCATATCCATAGTAATTTTGACCATTTCAGTCCAATATGTTTCTTTGGAAAGTTCTTCTCTGGAGAAAGCTTCATTGCATTTTTCGTAATACCTATCTGGGTAGGTGAGATACAAAGAATTGGTATCCTCATATTTTATCCTAAACCTTTCTTTGATACGAATTCAGCAACAAGATTAAGGATGTATTTTCCTGCTATAGTAGTTCTACAGGCTAATCTGTGAAGAAAAATTGGAGATAGTAAGTTTTTAGCTTCCCTATAAAAAGTGTTCATATCCTTCAAAGCTTTTTGCTTTGAATCCCAATAATCATAATCAAAGCATACAGATGAATATTTTAAATTTAACCTTTCTGGTATCCTTTTACCACTTTCTTTAGCTGAACTTATCATCTTTTTAAGATGTTGCTTTTTCTTTCCTAGTAGAGTTAGACGCAATGTTGTCATGAAACATTATTGGGACATAACCTGGAATACTAGGACTTAATGTAAGACATTTTGGGACATAGTGTGAGACAATCTCAAAATATTTGGGATATTGAAAATGTATATCACTGGCTAGACGTGCTTTAAGTTCCAACCTCTTGTTAAATAAATCCTTCAACACTGTCAGATATAGACCTTTCTTTTCTGTTTGGTTATTATGGTAGACGCATTAAGCTTGAACAATATAATTATTAAACGAAAATTCAATTTTATGCAAGTTATTTCTATTATTTTGCGCAATATTGACATCATTTGGATCAAATATAAATTTTTCTGGAAAGAGGTTATATGCCATGATAATACTGAAATATAATAAAGCGAAATCCAATCCCGTTATAGGTCTTCTACTTTTAATCCCTTTTTTAGGTGGAAATACGTACGCATCAGGATATTTTCCTTTTTCTATATTTTCAGGAACCCATGTACTTATTACTATATCTCGTTTGACAGCATATGCTTTAAAAAAGTTCTGTACCTTCATTCCATTTGTGCGATAGTGTGTGTCGAAAAGAGAAACATAAGCTATAAAGACAACTTTTCTATAATCATTTATTATACTTTGGTTTACCAAAAGCTCTTGACAGTGCAGTGCATCTATAATACAGTAATATGCTACTTCACGCATATTTCTCGTGATTGTTGAGAAAGGACTTTTTTCACCTCTGAATAGATTTTCCACATTTTATTATATGGCACGTCGGCCTTACTGTCAAGACCACACTTTTGTAAGAAAAATTTAAGTGAATTTTTCTTTTTGACTTCAGAACGAGGAAAATGTTTTTTGAGACACACTTAGATATCAATCAGTACACAACCTGGCAGTTTAAGAAAGCTAGAAATAAAATGATCTTCCATACTAATTTTGATCTTAATTGGATTACCTATATATTTTTTCTTCTCCGGATCCTCTTCACCTTCTTCGAGAGCCTTAACAGGATACTTTTCATGAAATAATTTTCAGCTTTCACTTCTATTTTTCCATGATATTTTTATTTTATAATTTCTTCCTTTGTTTCAAACTTTCCGTCATTCGCTCCCACATCCATTCGAGTATATTGAGATAATATGCTCTTTCTATAATAAAACGCTAATCATAGTCTGAATCGTTGAACCTGACTAGGATGTTAGTGGCAAATGCTCGCCAGTTAAGAGCAAAAGCTTTTAGCAGATTTACTTGATTTCCACAAATGATTGTAGTCCAGTGTGGGTCTGCTTCTATTTCAACATTAGCAAGACATATTTGCTTAGTAGTTTTGGATCATCTTTCCAATATAATGTCATGCCAATCATAATAACATTATGATTCAGATCAAGGACTTCAGCAAATTTGCCTAACTCTTGTGATTAGATCTCTATATTCCAAGTGAGAATAATTGTACAATCCCGTAAGAGAGCTGAAATGTGAAATCGATCACTTATTGTCATAAGATCTTCCAGTGAATAGAAATCTTTTATAAATATGTAGAATTCATACGGATAAAGTGGGCTAGTCTGCTTACCTTTCTTACATATATATTTGTTTATTATAGACTACCTAGAGAGTTGGATTCCATTTTCTTAAGCTACCTTTCAGTAGAATGAGTATAAATCGTCTAAAGCAGTTTCAAAATTATTTTCTTGAATAGCTTGGATAGCTTTCTTTCTCTCTCTAGTACTATTCGTATAAATTCATAAATATGACTTTTTTTGGTATGATAACCCTGAAAAGGAAAAGCTTTAATGTGCTCTATTTTAAATAATTTCACAATGTCAGAGAGAATTTTATTCACCTTTCTTCACATTCATCTGGAGTCTCTTCATTCGACACAAGAATGTCAAAGAATACCCGAATGTCTTTAAGAGTTACTAGTGTCTTTTGGCTATTAATAAGATGACTATAAAGATGCAATATATAGTGGTAGTTCTATTTATCCTTTTTGTTAATCCTTCATTCTCAATGGCCATAAATAAAATATCTTGTCATTTAGATAAAGCATCTTCGAGGATTGAAGATAATTCCTCATCATTTTCTGCAACTATATCATCTAGTATTTGGATGTCTGACAAGATTTTTTCATCAGAATAGCGAATCAGTTGGCCTTTTATTTTATCTTTTTCAGCCTCTAGGTGAAAAAGACGAAGGTATTGAGAAACTCTGAAAGCTCAGAATTAGTCATGGTATTTTTTTCAGAATATAATAACTAATATACCCTTCGGTATAATACCCTAGGAAAAAAGTTCAAAATAAAAATAAATATTATTATAGATATCAAAGATTAACCAACAATAATACTGAAGATAGACGATTCTGATGACATATTTATTTTCACTGAATATTATATTGTAAAGGGTGAATACATTTGCTAGTATCACTCTAATGAAGGGATGGTTTGTAAAAATCTCGCAGAGCGACTAGAAGGGTGTCATATTTACTAGAAAAGATGTCAGTGATCTTTATGCAAACAAGATAGATATATAAGACCGACAGCATCAAAATACAGATATTGTAATTTGCATGTAAATAAGTCTCATTCGAAAGCATATTATTACCGGAAGAAATTAGAAAAGATGCTTCAAAATGGACAGACACTGGTAGTATTAGAAGAGGCTCTTAATAGGATAAAAATATCTGATATAATAAAGTGCTGGTTTTAGAAAAATCTGCCTTAAAAAAATCTGCTTTAAAAAATTTTTGATTTCAGAGGCAAAAGCGAAATAGCAAATTAACTTTATTAAGATGCTAGAATGATTTCTTTAATGGTTTGCCCTAGGTGTCTTAGATGGTCTAGAAAAAATCAAACTTCTTTACTTTTTATTTTTTTTATATTTTATCTATAAGTATAGCGAAAAAAATAGTATGTATATAGCATATATATATCATACCAATACATATACCAAAAAAAATACCATAGAAAAATTTCAATTTTTAAAGAACTTTATTTTTTACTAGAATATCTAAGTCACTTAAGGAAGATAATGCAGGAATAAGATAAAATGAAAAAAAATAATTTTTCATATAATAAACTCTGCCTTAAGAAGTGACCCAGAAAAATTTCTAATTATTTACTAGAACTGATTTTCTTAAATTTGTAATGAAATATTTTCGCAAGTAATTAATCAATTCATCTCAAATTCAGCATATGATTCTCCTAATAATATATACATAACAGATTATTTGACACAGAGCCTTCTGAGAGCACTATCAGATGCCTTTTCTAACAATATATGTATTTTCTCGCAACACTCATTTTAGAAAAAGACGTAGTAAATTAACAATAATACTAGCCAACACTATTTCATAATTTCGACCAAAACTTTGGATATAATATTTTAGCATTCAAGCTAGCATAAAACTAGTTAACTAATAGAACCTCTCTAGCTTTCCTTTAATTCTATAACAGTTTCAGGAGAGTTCTATGATACCATTACAATACTATCACGATACCAAATTGGATCCTCAAATCACATATGCAAAAGATCAGCCAGAGTTATACCATAGAGCTGGCCAAAATTAATTGCAAATACATCACATCACCTGTCGCCTCTTTCTTTACACTATTTTAATATTTTAAAAGGCAATCAAATAGACACGCATTCTCAACATAGAACTGGTAACCAAACTGACACAGAAGGTCAGCATTCTCACTAGAGAACCAGACATTTAAATAAGAATAAAAAGCCAATACTAGCAATATAGAATTTAACATGTAGACAAAATAAGAACAAGAAGAAAATAGTGATACTTAGATTATATGGTGGCAGTTAGATTAAATGCTGTATAGTAGTTAGATTATATGGTGATAAATAATAGAAATATCAGGAAGGGTTTAAAGGAATAGTTAGAATATAAAATAGATATCTGAGATAAGAAAACAAATAGATTATATGGTGATAATTAGATTATATTATTCAGATTATATGGTGGTAGTTAAATTATATCTTTTAGATTATATGGTGATATTTAGATCATATGATGGTACTATAATCTAAGGCAAGTGAAATACCATCATATAATATAATTATATTATATGGTGGTATCCCACTTCATATGATTTATTATATCTCATAACTTGATTTTACTAAAAACATTTTTAGATTCTTATCAACATATGCAAAATTTAAAATAATAATAAATATATTAGTAGGTTTTTAATTAACTATTCTTAATATAATTAATAGATAATAAATTTTAATAATAAATAATAGTAGGGCAAATATGGGGTTTCTGAGACAGATTTCAAAAGATATCCAAAAAAAGATTCCTGACCGCCCGCGAACCCA